GTTCAGAAGGATTTTAGGATATCTTATATTGTTGAATCATGTCCTCCCCTATTTTATAGATGATGATGCAAGCCTTTTTATCTACATTTGAAAACCTTACATCCAGATTTTTCCCAATTTCCAATTTGTGTTGAGTTCATTGCAACTGAAGTTCCTTCAAAATGTCATACTTCTCACAATACTTCTAATCTCATACCTTCAAAAATCATATCTTTTGATTCCAGCAGTCTTCCTTCTTCTTCTACAGTTGATTCTATTTTGCAAAATTCTTTTGATATGGATGACAACTGTTTTGTTACTAGTGTTCATAAGGATATTAAAGTGTATACACACTGTGATTCTACTACTATAGCATTGCACGCTATATACAATAATAAATGTGATCTTATATACCACTTGAAGATGTATGCTATTGAGAATAACTTTCAGTATGTGACTAAAACTTCAAGAAAAGAAAGTTTACATGTGATTTGTCGTGATGAAAAATGTGGGTGGGTTGTTCGTGGTGTTCGCTTCCTGATGTTGCCTTCTTTTAGATTCGCAGGTTCAATTCAAACTTTAACATTTTTATTTATTTGTTTATAGTTGTAATTATCAGTTACATTATCTTTAATTTTCATTTCTTCTTTTTTAGATTTGATTCAGCTCATGCTTGTTCAGTGGATTTCAGAGAGGGTGATCACAAGCAGGCCACTTATGACATTGTTGCACGCATTGACATTCATCGTTACTCCAATGCCTCTAAGAAACCTTATCCACCAAATGACATAATTGAAGACATCCGTAGAGAATTTGGCATCTCTATGTGTTACTGTAAAGCTTTGGCAGCTAAGCGACATTCGATGAAGCTTCTCTTTGGATCCGATGAATAGTCATATCAATTATTACCTTCCATGTGCCATGTCATTGGAAAAGCTAATCCACAGTCTGTGATAACTCTTGTTCATCATGCTGATTTTGTTTTCAAGTGCATGTTCATGTCATTGTTTGCATGGAGGGAAGCTTGGGATCACTGTATTCCTGTCCTAATAGTTGATGGTACTTTTATGAAGGACTATTTCAATGGGACGTTGCTCACTGACTGTACCAGGCCGGGATGTCAATCGTCAGCTTGTTCCATTAGCTTTTGGGATATGTGATTCAGAAAACAATGATTCCTGGAAATGGTTTTTTTCACAGTTGAAGCAGCTCTATCTTATAGACACAATCAAAAGATATGAATAAAATGGTGGAAGGCTGCATCCTGAAATCTTAACAGCAATCATCTTAATTCATCGTCTGTTTGCACCTTTCTCCTCTCAGATTCTTGGAATGGTGTCTTCATATGATTTGTATTACTTGAAGTTGGATTTCATAGAGAACTTGAATCGTGTTCTTTGAATGTTGCTACAAAAAGATATGTTTGAACGATTGGCAGAACGTCATCCTGATTGCCGCTTTCAAGCTCTATTCATCTTCTTTTGATCTCGTAACCAATCCTAGAGCTCTTTTGTCTTCAAATCTTCATCGTGAACCTCCCGGTGAAATCCAAATCTCTCAGATCTCTCTCAAATTCATCTTGACTCGTCTCGATTTCTTCTCAAGCATCGGTGTCGGGCTCAAATTCCCTGATTTTGACTCCAAAAATAGCAAACACGAACCAACGCCCAGTAAAGTATGACTTGAGCTAAAAATGAGACTTATGACACCTTTAAGCTAGGAAAACCATCAAAAGTCGATCTCAACACGCATCAAATGCGTGTCGAAATACGGACTTATCAGACCTCATTAAATTCAAGACTGAAAAACAAAATGTATTGTTTTAAGTAATGAAAGAATTTGAGAACTTGAGGAGTTGTTACGAGTTCTGCACTTGATCTACAATTTGTGACAATCAACTCATAGAGTGTGAGAGAGCTGATCTGCACTCCACACTTGATATGCACCTTCTCTAGGATTATACAAGGTGCACTGCGCTCTGCACTTGATCTGCAAGCTTGCAGTGCTCTACTCATAGAATTTGAACAAGTGCCCTGCTCGACTTCAGAGGTGAGTTTAGCGCAGAGCTAACCCTCCTCTAACCTTTTTAGCCTTGTTTTTTGTGGTATGGACTTTGAGGTTCCTCTGCCCGAGCTGATTGCACACCTCCGTGTAATAGCTATGTATTGCAATGTTTGTACCCCTTGACAACAGTACCTTTACTTGTATCATGCATGTCACCGAGAGGCCGAACAACTTCGCTACTCCTACGCACCCCTGAAAGTGGCCTTGCAAAATATGTGAGTCGTACATCCGTAGTAGTGGGCCCATCAAGACTGTTACCTGGGCTGGTTCGAGACTGAGGAGGTTGCATGAGCATCCTAGGGTTCCGCTAGTCAACCTCCCCATATGCATGTACCATATTGGGTCCGTCAACATCGCAACCCAAACTGGTTCGAGACCAAGGAGGTTTCATGAGCGTCCTAGGGTTCCGCTTGTCAACCTCCCCATGTGCATGTACCATATTGGGTCTGTCAACACCGCTACCCGGACTAGTTCGAGATCAAGGAGGTTGCACGAGCATCCTAGGGTTCCGCTGGTCATCCTCCCCATCTGCTGATAATCGGTACACGTACAACCTTCTGTGGTATCTTCCTCTTCAACTGATCGTGCTCGGGACGTACTGGTTCACGTCGTACGAGGTCTCTAATGGGCAAGAGTACAACCTCTGGTCTCTCATGCACGTCGATGAGTCGTACCCGATCACACGGGCCGTCAGAAGGTCCATGGCATCTTCCTCCTCAACTGATTAGCTCGGGACATACGGGTGCACGGAGTACGAGCTCCCTGATGGGAAAGAGTACAACCTCTGGTCTCTCACGCACGTCGATGGGTCATATCCGATCACACGGACCGTCAGAAGTCTAGCAGGGCAGTCATCCTCTTCAACCAATGTTGCTGCCAGAGAAAGTTCGAGCTCCATTAGAGAGGGGAGTCGTCTGGATTTGAGCTGTCTCTGCTGAAGCTTCTCTGGATCTCCCAGAAGAGAAGGAACCGTCTGGAGTCAAGCCGAAGGCGCTGCGACCAGGGTGGAGAAGCGACCTGCGATTTAGATCTTCCTGTTGACAAACTGTTCTTGACCAAGGCTAGAAAATTGAACACCGGTGCTTGGGCGAGGCTTGACAGGTATATTTAGATCTGGTATTCTAGGTTTCGTGTTTGTTAGACGTGACCCGTTAGCAGGCTTCATATTTCGGGGGGGTTTTGTATTTTTTGATGAATCCAGACTGATTTTGCTGATTCTCGATTGAACTTATCATGAACTTATGAATGATTTTGGGTAGGATCTCACTTAATTTCTGCTCTAAGCTCACCAATTTTCTACCGAAAATATGAGAGATGGCTGTCAATGAAAGCACCAATGTATAGGCGTGGACCCGGTTCGGGCCGCCCGGCCCGGGACCGGCCCGGCCCGCCACTGTGCGGGCCCGGAACCGGCCCGGTTCTCGGGTCCGGGTCCGGTTCGGGCAGAGACCCGGTCGGGTTAGCGGGACCGGGCTCGGGTCCTGGTTTTGGAGGCCCGGCCGGGTCGGGCCCAGGCCCGGGCCTAACGGTCCAAAATTTAAAAAAAAAAAAAAATTGATTCTTTTGGCTCAACGGCCACCCCAAACGGCTATATAGCCGTTGGGTGGTACCAGGGGGGGTCAGGGGGCTTTGGGTGGGGGGTGGGGTGGGGGGTGGGGGGTGGGGAATGGGGGTTAAAAAAAACCTATAAATACTCCTAATTTTAAACATTTTTTCACACCTCTTCTCCAACTCTACCTAAATCCTACTCTCTACTCATCTCCAATTCTCCATATTCATCTTCTCAAATTCTCTTATTCTCCTTTATATTTTATTTTACTATTTAATACTTATACAATTATTATATCTACTTATATATTAATTATCTACTTATATATTATTATCTACATATACTATATTACTTATATTTCTTATCTACTTAATCTCTACTTATATCTCTTAATACATACATACATACTATATATACTTAATATATACTTTATATAATAAAGTATTAAATATACTTTATAAACTATTACTATATACTTAATACATAATAATATCTACTTCTCTACTTATATTTTATATATACTTATTTTCCAATCTCCAATTCTCCATTATACTCTAATATTTAATTCTTATACAATTATTATATCCACTTAATACATACATTCTACATCTACTTAATATATATTTTATATATTAAAGTATAAAATATAAGTGTATTACTCATCTTATAGTAGTATACTTATATATTATATAATATAAACATTATATTATATATTACTTACTATAACTAGTATTATACTAGTTAATTAGTTAATTAGCATTCTTGTTACATTTTTCATTATACTAGTTAATTAGTTCATTACCATTATTGTAACATTTTTCATTATACTAGTTAATTAGTTAATTAGCATTCTTGTTACATTTTTCATTATACTAGTTAATTAGTTCATTACCATTCTTGTTACATTTTTCATTATACTAATTAAAATACTTCACATTTTATTTAACTAGTTGTTAGTTTGTTACATTTGTCACTATACTAGTTAACTACTTAATTAGCATTGTTGTTACATTTTTACTTGTACTAGTTATTTACTTCAAAAGTTGCTATAATTTTAATTGTAGAGACACACATTAATTCTACTTTGCAAAAAATTAGTTTGAAGTATTAATTAAAATAGTTTTAATTAGTTGCATTAGTTTTGTATCCATTATTATATTTGTTGTGAATTAATATTTGTTACATTTTTTAGATGGAAGGTGGTAGATATTCGGTTGATTTGGGTAACCTCCAACGCAATCGAAGAAACGAGATTGGGAGGAAGAAATCCCGCAAAGGTAAAGAACTTGCCGGGTCTTCATCTCAAAGCCGAGATGATTTTGAAACGGGTTACCAAAGGCGAGATGGAGATGCGATGTCCGAAGAACAACTCCAACAAGAATTGGCCCGACATAATAACCGCTTTCTACAACAACAACAAATGCCGACGACCATTGACGAAGAGGAGCTTGAGGATGAAGATGCGGAGGAATTGGAACCGGAGACGGCCGAGGAGGAGGGTGCCGGCAGCCACGACGCCGACGCGCCTGCCTCATCCCAAACCGCCACCGGTAATAAAAAAAAGTAAGTCTGAACTAATGAAAAATAATTTTGATAAATGGAAGGACCCACAAACCGGCTATTGGCACGCAACTTGCAAGTGGTGCAACAACAATTATAGTTTGGGAACCTCCGGCGGATACGGATCCGCCGCAATGCATCTTAAGGCAAAGCACCCCGTGGAGTATGCAAAATTAGGCGGCGGAACGGGGAAGCAAACTCAAATATCGAGGTTTGCGAATTCTCAACCTTTTGGTAATTTCTCCTACAATGATGCACAAAATTTGACTGGTATGGCTAACTTAATTTGTGAAGAAAATTTGCCTTATTTGTTTTCTGAAAGTCTTGCTTTAAGAGATTATGCACAAGGTAGTTTAAATCCTCAATTTAGAAATTATAGTCGCAAAACTGTTAAGAAAGAAATAATAAGGCTTTATAATGCGGAAAAGGTAAGGTTACAAAAAAATTTTGCAAGCTTTGATGGGCGTGTTACTATTTGTTCTGACATATGGGAGGATGATTTTCATCATTTATATTATTTGGGTCTGACTGCACATTATATTGATGAGGATTGGAATATGCATAAACGTGTTCTTGCTTTTCGTGAATTTAATGATCGTCACACCGCTGAACATATTTATATTTTGATTGAGCGTATTTTAATTGAGTATAATTTGATTGATAAGGTGTTTGCTATTGGTTTCGATAATGCTACTAATAATACTGCTGCTATACCTAGATTGCGTGAGTTGTGTGGTGCCAATTCTTTGATGGGTAGATTTTTTCATCAACGGTGTGCATGTCATGTTATAAATTTATGTGTGCAAGACGGTTTAAAAGCGTTAGGAGATTCCATGGAGGTAATAAAGGGGGGGGGTTAGACGTATTTGGGGTAATGGTCAACTTAGATTAAAATGGCAAAGTTATTTGACTGAAAGAGGTGTGAGATATGTTGCTTTTCCTAAAGATTTGAGTATTCGTTGGAATAGTACTTATAAATTACTTAAAGTTGTTCTTAGATATAAAGAACATTTTCCTGCTTTTTTAAAAGAACATGATAACTATATTATAAACGCGGCTGAGATCGACACTTGCGAAAAAATTTGTAATGTTTTGATATATTTTTTTAATGCTACTGAAACTTTTAGTCATGTTTATAAACCTACCGCAAACCAATTTATTCCACAAGCTGTTAATCTCGCCGATGCTTTTAAAGAATTTCAAAATGCCGTTTTCGTTCATTATTTTTGTGATCATATGAAGGAAAAGTTTTTAAAATATTATGCGCATATTCCTCATATTTATGGTATTGCATTTATTCTCGATCCTCGTTATAGACTTGCTAATTTGGAAGATTGTTTCAACTTCTATTATCTTGCGTTTTTCGGTGAATTTCCAATGTATGACGATAACCTCATAGATCCGAAAACGGAATACAACGAGGTTAGTACTTTATTTTATGCCTTATTTAATGAATTTCGTGCACAATATAGCAACGCTCCCCCTCCCCCGTCACGAACATCTTCATCTAAAGGAAAATCGATTTTTAAATCTGCATTTGGCAATCTTATGAAAAAAACTAAAACAACTCACGTCACTGAACAAAGCGCATTGAATGAGATTACTTTGTATTTAACATATGAAGTTGATTTTGAAGAAAATGATGACTTTGACGTTCTAGACTGGTGGAAGTCAAAAGAAAGAACGTTCCCGATTTTAGCACGGATGGCTAAGCAAGTACTATCAATGCCGGTTTCAACAGTTGCTGTGGAACAAGAATTTAGTTCGGCCGGCAACGTCCTAACGGCATCTAGATCGAGATTGAGCGCGGAGTCTCTTGAGACGCTTATATGCTACCACGATTGGTTGAAGGCCGCACGTAGAACTCAAGAATTGAGCATCACCCCCTCCCAAGATTTTATGGATGACTCAACAACCGATGGTGGCTCTACCTATGCCGGAGATTCCGATTGATTAGTATTTTAGAATTTATTACAAAATGTATTTTATAGCACTTGTCAAATTTATTTATACTTGTACTTCATATTTCAAAATTGTAAACTTGTACTTCATATTTCAAAATTGTAAATTTGTAGTTGTAGTTCAAATTAATTTGTAAACTTGTACTTCATATTTCAAATAAATATGTGTTCACTTTTTCATATGTAGCACTTCTCAAATTAATTAATTGGTTACAATCTAATGACTTAAAATTATTTTTCTAAAATATAAAGCCGGTTTTTAAATTAAAAATACATTTAGAATATGTAATTTGTTTAAATACTTATACACCTATTTTGTAACATTTGTAAATTATAAATCAAACCACTTTTCTAAGTACAAATAGTTTTAGTTTTACTTAATTCATTAAATTAATTAATTTATTTTACAATATGTGTATAACTTTAAAAAAAAAAAATTCAAAGCTTCCAAACGGCTATATAGCCGTTGGGGCTATGGGTGGGGGGCAGGGGGGGTCCCGGGGGTGGTGGTGTGGGGAGTGGGGTTCAAAAACATCTATAAATACATCTATTTTCTAACATTTTTCTACACCTTTTCTCCAATTCTTCTCAAACTCTTCTCCATCTTCATCTTCTCTTATTATCCTACATTCCTACTTATACATATACCATTTTAAATATGGAAAGTACATCTTCCCTTATGCAAAACAATTTTGACAAGTGGAAAGACCCGAAGACCGGACTGTGGTGGGCAACTTGCAGGTGGTGCAAGAAAGACTGTTGCTTGGGGCGTTCATACGGATACGGGATGCCAATAAAACATATGAAGTTCTGTGACAAAGGGAAAACAACAACCAACGGTGGCGGAAATCCCAATTGATATTCATTACAAAATGTATTTCGTATTGTTATTTTTTTTCTCAATTCTCAAATGTAGTTCTTATTTCAAATAAATGCACTTGAACTTTGTTTTTAATAGCAATTTGTATAATATATAATTAATAAAAAAAAATGTACTGACCCGGCCCGGCGGGTGGCCCGAACCGTGACCCGGGCGGGTGGCCCGGCCCGAACCGGAACCGGTCATTGACCGGGCCGGTCCCGGGCCTACCGTTATAGGACCCGAGGCCCGACCGGGCCTTGACCCGGCCCGGGTCCATCACTACCAATGTAGGTAGAAAGTAACACGGGTAGAGAAACCGATAGCGTTTTAGTATAGTGAGAAAAGTTTTTCCGATAACAGGAGGATTGTGTGGCCTATTTATAGACGTTTACAACAAGTCCAATAATAAAAGGCTACATGGGCCCAATCTAAAAACTAATATTGATGATAATGAGCCAGCCGGTCTAGCTATTTAGAAAATAATCCCAGACTAATTTTTGCAAGTCGGACTGTGTAACGGCCGATAGTCTTGGACCCGGCCCATTATCCCAACATGGAGTGCAAACTAAAATTCCCCTTTTTAAAAAAACAATAACTTGATTAATGATCATTTTCTCCGTACAAGAGCAAAATAATCATGTGAGTTCCCCACTCAAGTACATCAAACTCAGAACAGGCTTCCCGTGTAAGTTTGTAGGTTACTTGATTCGTTGATCGGTGAACATACTAGACATTACTACTGGTAAAATCTACGATCATTTTTCTAATTTCCTGATAACGAACAACATTATAATGTATCCCCTCCCTTTACAATAGACCTGCACAAAAATGGTCAGACCCACCCGGACCGTCAGTACAAATGGGCGAGCTTGGGCATACATATTTATCCATCAGGACTGACCCGACCCGCAATAGCATGTAGGCCCTTTCGGGCCGATAAGCCCAACCCGCTACATTTAATATACATGTTTATTTATAATACTCCCTTCGTTCTTTATTAATTGTCTTTATTTACATTTTATTTTATAAATATTTTAATAATTTTTGACATTTTTTAGTTTTTTATGTTTTTTTAATGATTTTATTGGAGTATTAATTAAGAAATTTCAAAAGCTATAAGGGTATATTTGTCCAAACACACATAAATAGTCCTACTATGAGGAATTAAAAACATGTCGTCCCATTTGTGTTCTTGGGCCACTTTTTTTACCTATTTAGGTAATTAACTCTAATTATTTCTCTCTCTTTCCTTTTTTGGTAAGTTTTTTCAATCAAAATACTTCTTTAACCCTATTTTTATTACCCTAACCACTTTCTCTTTCCTAATTTATCATTTAAACATCAATCACTACACTTTTTACATTACCCCTATTGTTTTCCACATAAACTCCGTGCCAAAGCCTAAGGGGACTTTTAAAAGAGAACGGAGGGAGTATATGTATAAACTTAATTATTTATTTACATTTACACGTGTGTGTGTGTGTATATATATATATATATATATATATATATATACACACACACTAATTGAGTAGCGATCCTGTCAGGCCGGCCTGACAGGACTCGCCATCCGGCCAAGGCCAATTGGGTCCCTGCCCGATAAATTTTTTTGTTGAAATTTTTTGAACATGTTATTCATGAAGTCGAGTTTATGCCGACAAATTTCACCTTAAATTTATTCAATCAGGAAGATAGTTAAATAAATTATAATCTAATTTCACCTTAAAATTATTCAATGGGGAAGACAACAATCATTCTCAACCTCATCTCCATTAGCTTGCAGCGCAGCATCCACATCAATTTTAATCTAACCCGGAAGCGGTTGTCAGGGTTTTGGGATTGAAAACAAGACCACGGTCAACTTGGGGGGGCAGGGTGCGTGGGTAAGTCTCAATCACTCGACCTGTTCGGATGCACTGGGCATCTGGACGGAGTGGCCAAATAGTTGTGGGCAAGTTCAAGATTGCATATATTCGATTCATGGGATGCATGACGAGATATGAGGGGAAGAGCGTTGAGGGTGTGGATTTTTACTTGAGAGTGAGTCACATTTGGGAGATGTGTATAAGAAGGGTGTTCCCTGTGAGAAAGCGGTCCAGTCCAGCTAGTCGCCGACTCATTCTCCCTTATGGGAGGTCACAGGTTCAATTCTCAATGGAGTGAGATTCATTCCAGTATACCCCAAACCCCCTCCCTCTAATCCCCCTGGGGTAAAAAAAGGGGTGTTCCCTGTAAAGATTTATTGCCTTTAGTTGTTGAGCTTATTGTTGAGCACTTTGGTGTTGTACTATTGTTAGAAGGGAGATGGAGAACGGTGAACCTTAATAATTTAATTCATTAAATTTCTCTAATTAAGGCATGGATATTTTCTCTTTTTTACACATATAGTAAATTGTATTGAAAATAACTTCAAATTTAATTCATTAAATTTCTCTAATTAAGGCATGGGTGTTTTCTCTTTTTTACACATATAGTAAATTGTATTGAAAATAACTTCAATTGGTATGGACACCGAAACCAAAACTCTTAGTACAAGATTATCACAGTGTTGTTATAAAATGATATGCTGGTTTAGAACTACATTGTGCAAGCATCAAAATTACTCTACCAAACAACCCCTCACTCATATTTGATTATTTCATTCCATCATCTATAATGTAGCTTGATTCAGATCATTTCTCTCCTAAGATCTTCTCTCCTAAGATCATAGTGCGTGTCATTTGAATCAAAACTAATATGTGTATATAAAGAGAGATATAAGGAAATAAACTTGCACATCTTATAATTTATACTGATTAATTGTGTTTTGTCCAATTGAAAAAATATAAAATAAAATCAATGTGTAGCATACAAAACCTATTTCTTATTACATGTATATATGTTTATATTTTACAGATGAATAGTTTCATTTGGATTTGGAGAATATTCAAAATGCAAACGAACAATACTTATAGCATGTAGAGCTGTCAAAACGGGCCAGAACCCGCGAACCAACCCGTTTAAACCCATTTATAGACGGGTTAGGGTTATGATATTTGGGCCCATTTATTTCGCGGATTAAGTGGGCTAACCCGATCGGGTTACGGGTTTTAGCGGGCCAGCCCGTGCGGGTTGCGGGTCGACCCGCGGGCTGGAGCAAATTATTACTCCGTATTAATTTATTATCCTCCGTAGTCCGTATGTATCAGTCGTTTGCCCATTTGGGTCTTGCTAGAGGTACACGTTTTGTGTACACGTTTGGTGTACACATGTCTGTCCTTCATAGACAAATTGTCTTGTCACAGACAACTTGTCTGTGAAGGACAATTCTCTGTTAGTTTATTCGCGTATAATTCGCGTATAATACACTCCAAACGTATAATTCGCGTATAATACTCCCGTTTATGAATTTTTCAAAAAAATCGGAAAAGTTCGCGTGCTTTAAGGATAAAATGTATAATACATGTACCGTACGTATTGATACGTATTTTATTCCCGTATAATACTCCCGTTTATGAATTTTTTAGAAAATTCTGAAAACCTCACGTACTTTAAGTATAATACACGTACTGTATGTATTGATACATATTTTATTCAAAAACACACACCATTAAACGGAAGCCTAATGTAGTGATACAACTAAAATGAAATGTTTAGATGCTCAATATTTTTTATATTGCTTAAAAAATGTATGCCTTATATGTTCGTTAATTGTGTAATAGTCATTACATTTAATAAATTAGGTTAATTAGCTTCTTAAATTCGTAATACATTTCGATATTACTATTGTACTACTACTGTATTACTTTTTTTCTCCACCCATATCAAGACTCCAAAGAGATCGAAAAATGTTGTGGCGGCTCACCAAACTCACAGTCACAGTAATATCAAGTATTCTCTAATGATATCTTTCTACTTCTACTCAAATAGGCAACTTCATTTTTATTACTTATTGTACTTATGTGTTCAAATCTATATATATGAAAAAACTATTCCTTACATTTTAAATTATTGAAGAATGTGGTGCAAATGCTAAATAACTCTTTATTTCTATCATTAAATTAGTATATAAGACACATATTATATGCCGTATTTGTAAATTGTGAAACGTTTAAAACACGTCTGTATCCTTATATATTTCATGAACGTATGAAACATATATTAAGCCGTATTTTATATAATTGTATCGTATTATACACGAACGTACGTATTATTGTATTATTCACGAACCGTATATTACTAACAACATGTGTGGCAACGGCCAAGAATAAAAAAGTAACTCCTTATATTACTTGTCTTCTACCCTTCAATTTTTACTTTCTACTTCTCTCGTTCCTTTATGGCTTTATCTCCTCTCCTCAATCTGTCCACATCAATTTTTAAGTATTACTCCGTATCTATTTTACTCTTATCTCCATTCCCACTTTAATATTGTACTATAACATCTACAAAAAATATTACTCCGTATTAATTTTCGTTTATTATTTTAAATTGGTTGATTTAATATGTATAGATGATGGGATTAAAAAAAAAGTTGATGGGATCATTGGAGAAGGTTTAGTCCACAACTTGCTGGAAACTCATATGGAGATGGACCAATTATTAGCACCTGGAGATGGACGAGTTGCTTATGAAGCAAGATTGCAAGAGTGATGTGATTTTATAATTTTTATTGTAATGCAAACTTATGATGTTTTGTTTGAAGTGAATTTAGACAATTTGGATGTGTTATTGCATTTTGATTTCGACAATGGTTTTGGACTTATTATGAAGAAGTTATATATTTCAACATATTAGATTTTATTGGAATTAGTTTACATAGTTTTAAATTTCTAATACAAATTTGGCCATTGTTTGGCCCGTTAAACCCACTTATTAGGTTGGCCCGTTAAACTCACTAAATGGGCTGGCCCATTTAACCCACAGGTTAGGTGGGTTGGGGTTGTAGAAATCCTGACCCGTCATTAAAAGGGTTGGCCCGACCCAACCCACTTAAAACATAACCTTTTCACGGGTTGGGTCGGGTCGGGCCGAGTTGGCCTGATTAGCATGTCCAGTGAGAGGGTAGGTTGTAGTAAGATTCATCTATTTCATCCTGCATATAACATAGGACCATAGCCCATAGGAGACATACATAGATGCAATGATTATTTTAAATTAATAGAGAAAATGTGGGGTATGAAAAATTGATAAAAATGTGAGACATGATGAAATCCATGTACCTTACACGGGTTTCAAGGGAAATCAGTAAATAAAAGTGAGTTAACAATGATATAAAAATGAAAATTTAAATATATTAAGAGATATGTAAATCCTTAATGCAAAAATATTAAATAAATTAGGGTGCATGTGTAGGCATGGACCCGGTTCAGGCCGCCCGGCCCGGGACCGGCCCGGCCCGGTTCTCGGGTCCGGGTCCGGGTCCGGGTCGGGCCTAGGCCCGGTGGGGGGGGCGGGTCCGGGCTCGGGCCATGTATTTGGCGAACCGGCCCAGCCGGGTCGAGCCCGGGCCTAATTGAATTTTTTTTTCATTTTTGGGGTAGACCCGGGTTGGGCTTGATGGTTAGGAGGGGTTTGGGGGTTTTTTTGGGGGGGGGGTGGGGGGTGAGGGGGGGTTAGGAAAGCAAAAATAAAAATTAAAAAAAATTAACCAAACCGGAGGCCCGGCCCGGCCCGGACCCGGTGGCTACCCGGGCCGGTCCCGGGCCTTCCTTCCCAAAAAAAAGCCCGGCCGGGCCCTGCCCAGCCCGGCCCAGGTCCATGACTATGCATGTGTAAGGAAGTGTAAGAGACCACACCCTCCCATCAGAGATACTCTTAAGAGACTAATTGATTAAACAATCATTAAAATTTGATTTGCTAATATGAGGCTATTTGCATTCCAAACGAAACTCTATAACCTACATAACAACTCCATATCTAAATACAACCGTTGAACCATATCCCAGAAAAGACCGACATTTATTCCAAACAAACAAATAAACTGTAAGATATGAATCTAGCATGAACTGACATATTTCAAAGAATGTGGCAATTTTTAAGTAGATAAACTTGGGATCTTAAACTTCTCAAAAGTCAAAACTGATTCACGATGGAATAAATATTATGGTTCAAATTTGGGCCACTGATAATTCAAAACGCCAACTTAAATATATTATTTAAGTGCCAATGTTTGCAACGGGCTTCAGGAGTGAGAGATTAATCAGCCTGAACTGTGAAGGAGTCAAGACCTTCAAGCATTTTGGGATTATTCTCCATGGTGTCATTCTTATTAGCTACAGCAGCCTGTCCACAAAAGTGAGCCATTCAGGAGGTGAAAGAATCAAATAAGCCCTTTTACTGTTTGTAAATCATTTAAGTGTCATATTCATCTATCTACTTGTTGAAAACAATCATTTAAGCCTAAATTACCTGTTAGTAACCTCATGAGTAATTTTAAAAGTCAGTAAAACCACATGTACAATTTTACCTGTTGGTATATGTATAATTTTAAATGTCAGTAAACTCATTTTATACAAGTGACGGTTATCTTCTTGTTTTCATTTATTTCTTTTCTTTTTCCTTTTTCGGTTTCCCGACTTTTTGCTCTTTCTTCCCTTCTCCCTAACCTAATACTCTGTATATTGTATGTATCTAACTGTATAAATATGTACATAACACACTCTGCATCTCCCTATTTCTACACTGCAAGACAGAAGGAAACATATTAGCCGTATGGAGACATCATCTTGTGCAAAATGATTTAGAAGTAAAGAAATTCTAAGAATAAAGTAGCGAGAGGAAATTAAAGAGCATAGATAGAGATAAGTCGGTTTCACTGCAATTAAATCCCTCCCCCCAATAGTCCATCAATATTTGGGGAACCACCAAATTAAAGCAAGAAGACATAGGGTCTGTTTGCAATAGCTTAAAAAACTGCTTCTCTATTTTTGGCTTAAAAAACCAAAATTAATGTTTTCAAGTGACAACTTCTACTTAAAAAAGCACTTCTCGGCTTTTGGATGAAAAGTGCTTTTAACTTTTTCTATTACACAAAAAATACTTTTTTACCAAACACTGCCAATTTTTACTTTTAAAAATCACTTTTTTCTCAAACACTAGCAACTTTTACTATTAATCACTTTTTCCAGAATCACTTCAAAAGTGTTCTTTTTAAGCAAAAGCATTTGCAAACACTCTCATAGTGACGCCAAAGGATTGCAAACATAAATTCCGGCCATAGTTATGTTGATAGTGTGGAATATACACACATTTGGATATAGTAAAATACACACATTTGGAGATTTTATACAACTTGAATGAATACATCTGAGAATTTAGTAAATTCCAGCCTTGAGTGATTATTTGGATATAGTAAAAGGGTTTATTTGACCCTTTTCTCTTAGAGGCATTTATGAGGAAGACTAATTACTCTAAAAGAAAACTATACACACATTTTACCAAATAAAGTGACTAGTCATTGTTCCCTCTGTTAGAGGAGGAAAACGATTCCCATATGGATGTGGGAATCAAATCTCACCTGAGAGGCTCAGAGTGGATCCCAGGAAAGCAACAAACGCCCCTTAGGGGCAGAGTGAGGATTTTTATGGGGGGTGGGGTGGAGGGGCTCCTAAAGGGGCGCGCCTTAAACTATTCTTGGTAATACATCTGAGATTTTATACAACTTGAATGCATACAATATTAGTATGTGATCATAATATAATAATGATATAATATTGGAAAAAATGAAACTATTGCCCGGATCCATACAATGCGGACTGGTCCCTGAAGGTCACCTTTCCCATAAAGGGTTTTTATCCTGTGACGTCTTTTTGAGCGTCTTGTCCGGCGCTGGTTGGTGAACTTGGTGGACGTAGTCCTAGGATTTGAGGATTCACACGAAACAGTCCAGACAATTCAGCAACAATTTCCAGATTTCCGCCTTGGGGACAAGGTGGATTTTCAGGGGAGAGTAGTGATAGGCATGTGGAAAAGGACAACCAACCAATTAAATACTTTGAGAAGGTGTATCGAAGTATCAATTAGTTGACTAAAATAGTTAGTTAGTTAGCTGTTATATCCCTGCGTGGATCATTATAGAAGGAATATAAATAATAGGAGGAAAAAGGGAAGTGGGTTGTTGTTCAGTTAGTTTGAGCTGGGAGATCTGAGACTTCTACAATTGTCTCATTGGTGCTTGTAATCCTTCTGTAAACCTTCCATTAATACAATAAAGCTTTCTTGATCTGTTCTTTACTAATTCTGTGAGATTCTGAGTCGGATTACTAGTGTTCTATCATTAATTTAATGTAGTTTTAGTCTTTTAGATGAAACTTTGAGTGTTCAATCAAAAAGCATAGGATAGATAATGAGGGTTCTTCCTTCATACTCCCTCCGTCCCGCTATGATTGTCCCATTTTACCTTTTCGGTCCATCCCATTAAGATTGTCTCATACCTTATTTGGTAATATTTGTATGGTTCTAAATCATTCTTACTTTATTCTTACTTTATCAATTCAATATCAACCACATAAACCCACTTTTATTAATAACCCCGTCACCTTCTCTTGTCCCAAACTTAGAGGGACGAGGGTAGTAGTAAATATCACCTTGATGTGATATCACTAATGGTAATTATCAAATTCCAATATAACCGTACACTAAAAAATAAAAATAAAAATAAAAAAGTTTTAATTGTTACAATCTAAAATGTATTCAATATGATTTTTTTTAGAGAATAGCACATCAAGTTTCATTAAGGATAATAGATGTTTCAGAAGTAAAGCTTTCCTTTATATGCGTGTTAGATATTCATTGAATAAAATGGATATCATAACCCAATGTCTTCTTTGAGAGACAATAAAAATAATATATTTAGAAAAATAAACACTTATTATATTACTTGGTGTTCAGTATCTTTTTTGCTTGATGTCTTTTTGTCTATATTGATTATAGAAAGACGTCTCAAAATAGTTCTATTCTATCTTTCATGTTCTTCACGAAAAATATTTTTCCTTCCTTCACCTGGACTATTAATCATAGTTCGGCTTATTATGATTTATAACAATCATAAATATCAGATTTAGAAAGTATCAAATATAGAAAATAAAGAACCTCCATGATCCATCCAATGCTAATGAAGCAATTAAATTATTCCGTCCAACACATAACATGGAAGAACTTTTTGAGAAAATAAAATCATGAAGCTGCTCCCACGTTTGAAACCAATATCAGGCTCAGGCTGAAATTATGCATCTGCTCATATTCGCATGATATGGAAAGAGATGTTAAAGCATGCGTAAGATTTAAAGCATATTTGGGCTTACTTTCAGGAGTGGGCCCAACTTCTTGTCAACCCCTGGAGAAAAACAAATTGTCTACAGGACCTCCCTCCTTCACCATAAGGCGCGCCTCAGTAAACGCCTTGTTGCATACGCAATAGGCGTAATCATATCCTCAGGTACAACTGTGCAGGTTTTATATTGCTTAAAATGGGATATGCCTCCCATCGTAAATAGGAAAAAATGCCAAGGCAGACCTTGAGCCGGCAGTGGCAGAACCAGAAATGGCAGGTTAAGGGGGTTGGGGCTTCAAAATTTGTATTGGATGGGACAAAGCTTAAAATTTCACTATATTTTGTAGTGCCTATAACTGCTTATACTAATGTATATACATCACAAACTTTTTCTTGGGGGTGGGCCCCCTGTCATAGTTATTACAACATTGTTACATCATCACTTAGTCATCGCCTGATAGGTACACAGATTTAGTAACAATAGATCGATCAATATAATTGAGCTCAAAAGGCAGAGACGACGATGAAGACGATACAAGACAGGGCACTTCGAGAGGCCTCTACTCTCCAGAACCGAATTCCCAATTCTAAAATCTGCCTAACGACCCTCTTCTTCCCTTCTCATTCTTATAGTTATAATCTCCTAACGGGCCAGCCCACATTTTAAGACATGGCCCAAGATTCTTATTTAATCAATACTACACTTATTTAATATCAAACTACAACTACTATTATTATTTTCTACAGCCCAGGGCCCTATCATATCTCCCCCTTGAAAAACCACCTTGTCCTCAAGGTGGGTGATATGACACAGCCTTGATCTTCTTGATCTTGAACTTCCTCTTCAACCTGGAGCCTCTTCCTTCCCAATATATTGTTGATTTTTGTATCCTATTTTCAGCACTTGACCCTTAATCCTTACTTCCTCAGACCAGCAATTCTCTATGGTCTTCTCAGCCTTTTCATAGAGCTCATTGTTGTCTCGAATCTGGAATTTAGCAGTCTTGTCTAGTCCTTCATAATAGTCAACCATATGCACACCTAACTTGACCCCACTATTCAACCCAACTTCTTTGTCCCCTTTGCCTATTTTCAGAATGTTCTCCAGCCCTTCAAGGTATGCAGTAACAATTCTTGGATCTTGACATAACAAGTGATCAGAGAGCATCTTAATGCAGCCGCTACTTATCAAGCACATATTCTGATTATGAGAGCCTGCAGGTTCTTCATAACAAGATATCGCCCCTGCAGGTTCTTCATAACAAGATATCGCCCCTGCAGCTTCTTCTTCTTCCTTGCTGTCAACTTCTTTATGAAGGAGGTGTACTAAAGGAATAGTGATAATATTTCTACTCCCAGCAGTGATATTAGGTTTTGTCCAGCAAACTTGAGTCCATACTTCTTCTTTCATATGGACAAATGGCTGATAAACTGGCAATACACCTTTAAAAAGGGTAAATGTAGTTGGTGTCCTGCATCGCCATGAGTTTGATAAAATCCCTATAGAATTTGTCAACATAAAAAGCTCTGAATAAAAAGCTCTGAATGCTCATTTGACGGAACTAGCAATGGTAGGATTGCACCATGACCAAGACCTTGATCGCTACAACCTGGATCATCACAAGAAAGCTTTCCTAAAGCCCAAGTAGCCTGCTCACGAAACTTATCACTTGGAGGGCTGCATTCAATCGAAAACAGTTTTCTTATTGGTGTCGTTGCTTTAATTCTTGCAGATGGGTCCTCTGTAGCTTCAGCAACTGTCCCTTCAAGCACAGTAGGCTTTGAAAGTGAGCTGGCATCGGTCACCAAACTATCAAGCCCTGCAGAAACAACCTTAGAACCTTCACCATTAGGAACTCCAGAAACAACCTGCTCCGGTTTCCGCAATACAGTTGTAGGTTACACACAGTTGTCAGCAACTTTCAGATGTTCAGAATAAGAACCTTGATCATAGCTCAAACTATCAAACCCTGCAGAAGAATTATTTTGGTTTTGCATTTCAATTTTGTCCTCCTTGTTCTCAGAGTTGGATTCATTCTCTTCTATTTCCTCAGTCTCCTTTATACAAACAGTCCTGGTAGAGCTTTCCCAAGTATTTGAACCAACCATTTTAGCAACGACAGATTCATATTCCATGGCAATGGACTGATTCACCACAGAAGTTTTGTTCTCTTGTTCCCCATCACCTTTGATGAATGTATCCTCAGGTGATTCCTTTAGGTACGACGAAACTTGTGCCATAGGAAACGCTGATTGGGCTGAAATCTGCGAACTGGGAGAAAATTTTAGCGAGCAGACCTGCGAACTTATAGAAGCTGTTTGCGATGAAGATGACATCTGCGGAGAAATAGTTCTCGATGATAAACTGTTAAAAGCAGTTTGTGACAAAGATTTCGAACTTAAAGCAAATATTGGAAATCCCAAATCCTGTTTTTCTGTCTTCCGGCTGTGTTGTTGGAAACGCCTATTTATGGCTTCCTTCAGAATCTTCCAACTCTTCTCTCTCGTTTGAGTATACCACCATGGAAACCAGGCTAAGGCTCTTTCCTCCATAGCACCTTCTGCTACTACCACTTTATTTTTTTCAGCAGTAGCCTTGAGACGGAAATACTCTTCCATCTTAACAATCCAACTATCTGCATCATCCCCTGTAAACTTCGGTAAATCAACCTTCATTACCTTACGAACAGGCTTTACGCTGCTACTGTGACCCCCACTCGAGCGATATTTATCGAAATTACCTTCAGATGCAGCTAGGTATTCCGATTCCTTTGTTCGCTGCTGTTGAGATGTGCGCAATCTCCCTCGGGTTTGAAGCTGTTCATATATAGCCGCCATGGATGCAGCGATTTTCTCAATTGCAGAACTAGAAGGATCGGAACTCCTAGCGTCTGTGAGATGCGAAGCGCGATGCAATCTGCGCGGATTGATCGAGTGATTCCTCGATCGATTCTGGTTGCTGTTCATCTTCGCGGATTGAGCCAAGGTCATCGCAATTTTCTCCAGCTCGTTTGTACGTAATTCCAGTTGAGCGCGATCTTCCACAGTGTTGATGTGCTCTGATACCATTGATAGGTACACAGATTTAGTAACAATAGATCGATCAATATAATTGAGCTCAAAAGGCAGACACGACGATGAAGACGATACAAGACAGGGAACTTCGAGAGGCCTCTACTCTCCAGAACCGAATTCCCAATTCTAAAATCTGCCTAACGACCCTCTTCTTCCCTTCTCATTCTTATAGTTATAATCTCCTAACGGGCCAGCCCACATTTTAAGACATGGCCCAAGATTCTTATTTAATCAATACTACACTTATTTAATATCAAACTACAACTACTATTATTATTTTCTACAGCCCAGGGCCCTATCATCGCCTTGGCGTCGCGGCGCTCAGAGAAGGTCACCATGGAAGCTCGACACGCCATGACTCATTAGGCGTCGCCTTGGCGTCAGAAGACGCCATAGACGCAAGATATTTGTAGTGTTGTACACGCTTCCCTTTGTTGTCTAGTGTCTATTCTTTGTATTTCTTTTTTTGTATTTCTTTGTTTGTCTACTCTTTTTATTTGTAGTGTTGTACTGTGTAATGTTGCACAGAAACTTTTTGAAGAGTTTCTATTGTTACTATTTTATATTCCGTAAAACGTTTCAATTTTTTGAAAACAAATTTCAGTTTTCCTCAAATAATGCTGAAACTTCAGTTTTTTTATAATTAGTATTTGATAATTTCATTGATGTCTTGAATTTATGCTGAATGTTCAGTTGTGTTACTTTACATTTCATAAATTGTTTTTAATTGTTTTGAGTATTTTTATGTTGGACTATGCTATTTGTAGTTCTTGGATCATGGACAATTTTTGTGATTGTTTTGATGAACTATAGACCTATGGTTATGGTCTTATGGATTATATTGTTTCTATGATTGCATGTTTTACTACTTGATTAGTAGTGTTGGCTATAAGCGTTGCATGTAGACATTTAGTATATAAACCATATTATGGATTTATTATTTTACCTATGTCGACTTATAGCCGCGATGTCGCCACGGCGGGAGCCATATCGCCATGGCGGTATGGCGGTCAGGAGGCGCCACGCCGCGAAACCCCGCCGTAACAACTATGCACCCTTTCTCCACCTCTGTGAGCCGGTAAGGCATTGCGTAATAGATTCCACTTTGTTTCGTCTTTCTAAATAAGGTCAGCACCTTCGAAACATTTTTGCACAGATACATCACGGACAGGCAAAAATAACAGTAAAAATGGGTTACCTTATCAGCACTGGAAGTTCTAGGAGTAAAACTATCCAACACAGCTTGTCTTTTTGCCTTGTGTTCTGCCTTTTCACAATTGGTTACAAAGTCATGTAGCTCCCAGAATGCGTCTGTGTCTAGAGCCTCAACGGTCAGTTCAGCATCATCATATTTGACGCTATTCCCCCGCCTTAAAATTTTATATAACTGGTCTATCTTCTCTTCAGATAAATTTTGGAAACTCAACAACCTAAGTTGAAGTTCACGTTTTTCCTCCATGCTAATCTCCCTCTTGATTGGATCTCTAGCTCTCAGCTTTTGCTCTTCCTCACTTGCAACTATCTCTTGAATTGGCAGCTCCATATCAGAATGTGGACAGATTTGAGACAGTGGAACTGAATGTGTTGATGCAGTGGATTATCTTTGGAATATCTCTTGCCTCTTTGACACCTGTGATCCTGTGGGATTAGCACAACCTTTGACTTCTTATAAATCTCAGGGACTGACTTGTGATTCCTATAACTGCTATGCAAGGTTTAAAAAGTCAGGTTTGGGTATCAAGGCGGTTTGTTATTAAGAGGCGAGACGAAAGCCTTGACGCTTATTGAGGCGTAAGCCTCAAAATATTTTGTTTAGCTATCTGACTTATTACATAATGATTTATTAGATAATAATTCTGAATAATTGTTAGTGTGCCATGAATATCTTATGATGTTGTTCTATTATTTTAGAGTCCAATAGCTTAAAATCTCTAAGAAGAACCGGGCACTACGAGTGAAACTGGTGTTGTGGTGTGCATATGGAGGTCCAGCTTTTCCAAAAATAACATGACTAACCCATTGGAGTGCATTTATCATGATATCAAGGTACATTTGAACCATTTGATTATGAATGATCTATAATAATTCAATCACGATTACATTTCACATTTCATGAAATATTGTCACAAATTGAATAACATGGTAAAAACGTTCTACAACAGTTACTACAATTTACAAAAAAAAAAACTTTTTAAAATTTTACCTTCCTTTGTTTTAATAAGGCTGGGTTGATTTTGGGTTGTTAGGGAAATAATGGTGTTGAGGCTAGAGATGACTTCTGGTACTTATAGCGTGCAAAGAATGGGCAAGAATGGTGTCTATACTACCAAGTGAGGATGATTTTAATAGTTCATTGTCTTAATCCAACACGTAAAAAACTATGATTAAGGTTTATTTTCCAAAAAAATGGATTCTCAAAATAATACGTAGTAATATGTGAACATAAACACTTCACATCTTTATTTTTAAAAGTGTATTACATACTTCACGCATATATTTATTTATCAATAGTAAATATGATAATAATACTTACATAAATGGCTAGATACAAAGTCATCACACGCATCATGGACAGTATTGTAAATGCAACATTTATCTTTGAATGATGCATGCCAGGAACTTAAAAAACAGTTGAATTTGTCAAAAAATCAGTAGGAAAAGAAATATTTTATTACATAAAGAGTACTTTTCGTGGGCATTTTTAAGCATTCATGATTGAACAGAAACGCAGTGATGGGTTTCCTATAGACATGAATTTGGTCGAAAAGAAAGTGATGTGCTTAGCTCAAGTGCCAATTAATGGTTCGCAGAAACGTGACGATTTTACTTTACCATTTTAAAGCTTAAACTAGATGAAGACTTCATTTCAGAAGAAAATGCAGAGACGTCCAATGTTAAGGTAAACTCTTACGGAGTATTTGTTACAGAATATAATTTTTCTTACGTCTTGGATAATATATTATGATTTGGTGCCCTATCATGACAGGAGGGGAATCAGCAAAATGAAGGGACGGATTCTGATAATATTGACCTTACTCTACATTGTACAAGATACTTCGGACTCCAATGATTATCACATTTTAGTGGGGCGGGAGAGGGCTTCCAAAATGGATCATGAGACACTAAAAGGAATAACAAAGAGGAAGAAGGGAGCTATGCGTGTGAAATAGAAAAAGCTGAAAGGGGTGAAAATATTTGAGCCTGTTAAGGGAGTGTCGCATGATATTTTTTAATTTCAAAATGGATCATGAGACACTTTTTGGATGATATCGGACTAACCACATACAGAAATTCAGAAAAATATATTTGAGCCTGTTTTTTTATAATTCAAAAGAATATATAATTTAAATGTTATTTATATACATAAGACCATTACGTGGAAAAGTTAAAGGCATGTCTGTCCTTGGGATTAAAACACAAAAAAACCAGTAAAGTCAATGATTCGATTGACAAGTGTTTCAAAGATGTTAAATACAACTAATATTCATACAAAATCACGGTCCAGTGCAGAGAATGTGAATTAAAAACCCTTCATCTTCATACAATTGACAATAAAAACACAAAATCAGAAAATAAGAGAATGGAAGAAGAACAACCACGATACCCTGTGAGCTTGATCTATTTAAAGATTATATAAATGAAATCAATTTAGAAGTAAAAAAAATATAGTGTTCGGAAAACAAGGAAACAGATATAGTTATGAAACGACCAACCTCAAGGTATTACACGAATGGCGTGCAGTAGAAATGGGGTTTAGGTGTTGACGGTGTGAATAGGGGGTTGCAACGGAGAGGGAGAAGCTGGGAGGCGGGGTGGGGGAGATAGAAGTTTCTGGAGCAGTCACTGGGGTACGTGAGGAATATACGGAGTATAGAATACAACATTAGAGATTTACGTTTGCTTGCATTGGGCTGAAATTTATATTGGACCAACATATATGGGTCATTCTGATTTTCCTTCCAAATCTAAATACCAGGTTGAAAAAAATACTCAAATAGGGGAATTTCCCTTAGATAGAATTAAATAAAACTTAAATGACAAGAGTATGATTTTAATTTATAAATTCTCTAAATAAGAGTAATTTTCCGATCTAATTTTTCATAACATGTAATTTTACTTTTTTATGTAATCTCTTTTGTTTTGCATGTGTGTTCTTTATATCAATTATAATGTTTTTTTGTGTTAAACCATGCATGCATTAAGAGACTATTTTTCCCGTGCATCGCACGAGTCACGTACTAATATGAGCTAATACCAGTAAGTCATTAGAATTAAAACACACAAACAGACATATCACACTCAGAAACATCACACACAAACTGAAAGATGAATAGAAAGTATACGTTAAGGACTTAGAGTTTAAATGAATAAAAGACTTGTTAGGGTTTACATGAAATAAGACTTGTTAGGGTTTAGTGTGGCCACATGTTTAATTAATAGACTTCCATTTAAAGAGTACTTTGGGCCTTTTATTAAATGGAATGCCTTGGGCCATTTTAAAGTTACTGCACATTAAAAATGGAGAAACAAATGAAAAACGTCTCAAGGCGTACGCCTCAGCTTTAGGTTAACCTGCGAAAAAAATCAAAAACCTAAGTCCTGATACCCAATCTGTATGCCTCACCTTGAGGCGCGCCTCAGAACCCGCCTCTTAAGTGCCTTAATTAACCATGACTGCTATGTTTGGTGCTCACCAACACTTGAGTTTTACCATGGGTGTTTGGGTACGTCGAAGAATGCATCTAATGTGAGGAATGAGAATGAAATGCGATGGGCATATACATATTCATGTTAGTCCAAATAGTATAATATTGCTCCAAAGTTCAGAACTTTTGATTAAACAAGTACGTTGAGAATCAATCTTGAATAGAAGCCAATCACTATAAAGCAGTGTTGATATTGCTAATTTAATGCTAGTTGTATTTACAGAATTTGTACTCTCATTCAATTCATCAAATATGGATGCTTCATCAATTCCAAATGTGGGAGTAGAGGACTGGGTTAATAATATTAATACCAATAGCACACCGAATGTTCGTGAGAGCAGACATATGCCGTATTTGAATATGGAGTTTCAATCTGAAGTAGAAGCATATGAGCTTTATAATGCATATAGCAGGAGATATGGATTCGACATTCGTGGATAATATGGTAATAAAAGCAAAAAGGATGGAGTATTGACCTAAAGGTGGTTCTCATGCTACAAAAAGAGCACTTGTCGCGCCCCAGACCGCATCTGAGCGCGTGTACAACCGTCGTATGACCAAATGACGTCACTCGCAGGTCAACGTGACTCAGTCACACAAGGCATCCATGGACATAGTCCATACCATACTCAGTAAGTAAACATACATAACAACATCACGTATTTGGATTGAATGAATAGCGGAAATATTCAATATTCAATCATGGGCCACATATGGCCAAAACGTAGGCACGCAGGCCCAAAACAAATGCATTTATTACAAAGTATCAATGAGCATAGTTTATAGTTTAAAAACAGTAAAGGAAGCACGAACCACGTCTCACCGAGCAAGGTGAGAATAGCAAACTTGAGCTTCAAGCTGAAATGGTGGGGCCCCCGAAGGGGTCAGTACAAGTACCGAGCGAGTAGCGGGAAAAATGTAGAATAACTAACGTTTCAAGTATAAGACCCAAACATAGGGTGATACATATACATGTAGTCTTTCCCCCCCCCCCCCCACCCCACCCCACCCCCCACCCAGTTATGAAATACATATCAATATATTTATACACTTGGAAAATACCCAAACCGTAGGTCATCGTTTATTTGGGAAAAACAGTAGTAGTCAATATCCTTGACTAAAAACCCATCCCACCCATATACCTATAAGTGTATAGAATTCCTCCTGGTTCAAAACAACTATCATAAGGACATCACCCGATCCTAAATCATTAAAATGTAATATATGAGTTTTGAGGATACACGCCCGATCCTTGGGTACTCCACCCTATAACCGAGTTTTGAGGATAACCGTCCGATCCTTGGGTACTCCACCCTATAACCGAGTTTTGAGGATACACGTCCGATCCTTGGGTACTCCACCCGACCTATGACTTACCACATATCACACTAGATAGGGTATACATCATATCTTACTAAGGACTAAACCAAGTCTTAGAATTTAAATCAATAGATATCAAACCTTGACATTTAAATACCATATTCCATGCAATTCCATGCACAATATACTTATATAGGATGGACGGGGATAATCCCCCCTTCGAACCGGACCCCAGACCGCATTTTTGCCGAAAACGGAATCCGGTGGCAGCAGCTTAACCGGCACCGGTTAGGCCCTATAACCGGCACCAGTTATGTCTGGGACTTTGGGTCAACGGCCCGTTGACCCCCGAGTTGACTCCCGAAATGTGCTCCGTTTGGCCCAAAATTTTTATACAATATATATCATGTCTAAAACCATCAATAAATTCCATTTTGGCCATCTAAAGCATCACATATGTTTTTATACACATTTTATACTTTTCACATGCATAATCATGTAGCTTCATTCACATACGCCTAATTACCTTGGCTAATCGCATGCTTAAGCTCTTTTAAACATCATTAAGAATACTTATAACATTTATTTAGGTAATCTCATACTTAACCCAAGAGTTATAAGACATTAAGCCGTCCACTCACCTCGAATGAGCGTTATGAAGTTTTACCCTTCTCGGTTGAACTCCGACGAACTTTGACGAACTTCGGCGATAACTCCGGCGACTCTTTCAACTTCGTGAAAGCTCTTGAATCACCTTTGACAAGTGCCTAACAAGGTTTTATCATCATCAAACCCATATCAATACAAATAACCTCTAAAAGGTTATTTTCCGGCGAACCGATCTCTTCGGCTTCTAAGTCCGTTCTTGGACTTTGAACCACCTTTCAACCCATCGTTCTACACTTTTAACATGTGGAACTATCTTAAAGGTATCTCATATGATCTATAACTCATATTAAAATCAAAAGATAGGAGAAAAGTTGTTCAGGAGCTTCTTACCTTTCTTCCCAAGGTTTTTCTCTACTTTTGCAACTCTTTCTCCTTCCTTGAGTTCCTTGCTCTTTGGAGCTTTCTTCAACAATGGAGATGGAGGTTTTCAGAGCTCTCTCTCTCTCTCTCTCTCTCCCCTTGGTGTCTTGGTCGAGGTTGATAGGGGTGTGGGGGTGAGGAGACCTTCCTCCTTGTCTTACCTAGCAAATAAGTGTGGGAGTGAGGTCCACACTTATTTGATTCCAATTAAATCATCCAGCCACCTTCCTATGACATTGAGCAGCCCTCCCTTGTATAAATAGCTCATAAAAACGTGGGGTGGCCCCCACTCATGTGGAAGGTCATCCCATTTTGTTCTGACGTGTACATTCGGCCCCGAAAGTTGTATTTATCGGATTGTTTTAACTTTATTTTATCTTATCCGGTCAAATAAAATATGTAGTATGTTCTCAATCATTACGGACCTTTATAATGAGTATACTTTCCCCAACTCTAATTTGGAAGTCTCCGAAATTCATTTCGGACTGTTATCCGATAAATTACCCAAACTGGTAATTGGGCCTCGTTTGACCAATCGGTCAACCCAATACCTTTCTTATGGCCCAACATGAATTTCCACCACCATATAACTATTATCTATACTAAGATGAATAAAATATGTGGTCTCGGGGATATCGGGTGGTCCCCACTCCCGGTGTGGGCCCCACGTGCAATTTACTATTCTCGCAAAAGAATTAACAAAAATTTACAACCTCGTAAATTCATTAACCATTTCATAAGGTTCAATACATAATTTACATAAAAGTAAATATACTTGGGGACGGTGTTACATCATTCGAGCTACAGACAAACGAGACAACTTGACAAAGTGTCTGAGAGCAGAAACTAGAACCGGATGTCAAGCACGGATAGTAATTTCACTTGATCGGAAGATGGAAAAGTACAAAGTCAGTGACGTTGTAGATGAGCATAATCACCCTCTTCAGCCTCTTGATTATGTTCAAATGATTCGGTCGCATCGTCACATGGCTGAGGCACAAACATCCAAAATTGTATCGGTTGATGCGTCTAGACTAAAGCCAAGAGATTTTCATACATATGTGTCACAGCAAGCAGGTGGAATAGAGAGTGTTGGCTATATCAGGAAAGACCATAGAAATTGCCTAAGAACAAAAACAAAACAGAACTTGGAGTATGGCGAACTTGGAGCACTAATGATGTACTTCAAAAGCAAGAGTTAAAATCCTTCATTCTTCTATGACTTTCAAATGGACCTTGAAGACCAGATAACTAATATTTTTTGGAGAGATGCACAAATGGTAAATGATTATGGATATTTTGGCGACGTTGTCTCATTTGACACGACACATACGACGAACAAGGATTATCGTCCATTAGGAGTACTTGTGGAACTCAATAATCATAGAAAAACAGTCATTTTTGGAGCAACATTGTTATATGACGAAACTATTCCTTCATTTTTGGCTGATATGCACCGACCATCATTCAATGATTTTGTTTTGGTCGGAGAACACTTTGGAGCTGGAAGTCAAGTCATTAATCCTAATCAAGATCCAAATATAAGTGTATATTACAATTCTGGGCGAGGAAGTTGTTGTTGTTGAGAAAAATGCAGATTACTAAGAGTTCACTTGGTGGATAATTTTTGGATAGGAACTAGTTGGTTGTGGAACATTTGATATGTTTTTGCTAATTTGGATGCTGCAATACGTAGTACTGTTATTATCGTTTTTTGTTAATTTACATTGTGGATAGCATTTTGCAAACTTTTATTTTGCAGACTTATTAAATTGAAAATTGAAGCTTTTGTTTTAATCGTTAATTTGCATCCCAAATAGAAATTTGGGACTTTGATTGATGAAGATTCAAACTGAGTTTTTTAATTT